AGAGTCAGAGCAGGAGATGTGCTATGGGAAGGACTCAATCAACTTATGGGCTTCAAAGATGGAAGATGCCACAAGCCAAGGAATGCTAGAAGCCTCTAGAAGCTAGAAAAGACAAGAAAATGGACTTTAGAGCCTCGAGGAAGAATGGAGCCCTATAGACTGCAGTTTTGATTTTAGCCAGTATGATCCATGTCATGCTTTTGACCTCCAGAACTGCCAGATAAGAAATGTATGTTGTTTTGGCTGGGCGTGGTGGCTCACACCTGTAATCCCAGCACTTTGGGAGGCTAAGGCAGGTGGATCACTTGAGGCCAGGAGTTCAAGACCAGCCTGGCCAACATGGCAAAACCCCGTCTCTACTAAAAATACAAAAATGAGCTGAGTGTGGTGGCGGGCCTGTAATCCCAGCTACTTGGGAGGCTGAGGCAGGAGAATTGCTCGAACCCAAGAGTCAGAGGTCACAGTGAGCCGAGATTGTACCACTGCACTCCAGCCTGGGTGACAGAGCGAGACTCCACCTCAAAAAAAAAAAAAAAAAAAATATATATATATATGTTGTTTTTTGCTCCTAAGTTTATGACATTTATTACAGTAGCGTAGGACACTGGAACAGTGGTCAAGAGACATGTCTTTGGAGTCAGACTGCCCTGAGTTCAAATCACAACCCCGCTGCTACCAGCTGTGTGACCCTTGGCAAGTCACTTAAGCTTCTGAGTGTCATTTGCCTCATCTGTAAAACAGGATAATCTCTGCCACACAGGACTGATGTAGGGATTAAAAGAAAGGATCGGGAAGGTGCTTAGCACAGCACCTGGTGCAAAGTGCATGCTCAGGAGATGGTAAAGGCCGTTTGCCTTTACCATTGGTATCAAGCTGTCCCATGCTCTTCTCTAACCCCTCAAGGGCCTTGGTGCCAGACACATCAGGGAGTTCCCTGCTATTCGTCTTGGTCCCTGATGCTTCCAGCAGAGCCATTCTTTTTCTTTTTTCTTTTCTTTTTTTTTCCTTTTTTTGAGGTGGAGTCTTGCTCTGTCACCCAGCCTGGAGTGTAGTGGCGCCGTCTCGGCTCATTGCAAACTCGACCTCCCCAGGTTCAAGCAGTTCTCATGCCTCAGCCTCCTGAGTAGCTGGAATTACAGATGTAGGTCACCACACTCAGCTGATCTTTGTATTTTTAGTAGAGATGGGGTTTCACCATATTGGCCATGTCTCTACTAAAAATACAGAAATTAGCCAGGTTTGCTGGTACGTACCAGTAGTCCCAGCTACTTGGGAGGCTGAGGCAGGAAAACTGCTTGAACCCAGGAGGTGGAGGTTGCAGTGAGCCGAGATCGTGCTACTGAACTCCTGGGCTCAGGTGTCACTCCAGCATGGGTGACAGAGTCTCGCTCCTCAAAAAGATAAACTAAAGTAACAAAAAAGTGGTTTGGCCGGGCACAGTGGCTCACATCTATAATCTCAGCACTTTGGGAGGCTGAGGTGGGAGAATCACGAGGTCAGGAGTTTGAGACCAGCCTGGCCAACCTGGTGAAACCCCCTTTCTACTAAAAATACAAAAAAAAAAAAAAAAAAAAAAAAAATAGCTGGGTGTGGTGGCAGGCACCTGTAATCACAGCTACTTAGGAGGCTGGGTCAGGAGAACTGCTTGAACCTAGGAGGTGGAAGTTGCAGTGAGCCAAGATCACAGCACTGCACTCCAGCCTGGGTGACAGAGTGAGATTCCACCTCAAAATAATAATAATAATAATAAAGGTTTAATGGACTCACAGTTCTGTGTGAGTTGGGAGGCAGGAGGTGAAAATCATGTCTTACATGGTGGCAGACAAGAGAGAACTTGTGCAGGGGAATTCCTCTTTACAAAACCGTCAGATCTCATGAGACATTCACTATCATGAGAAGAGCACCAGAAAGACCCACCCCACAATCCAATTACCTCCCACTGGGTCCCTCCCACAACACGTGGGAATTATGGGAGCTAGAATTCAAGATAAGGTTTGGATGGGGACACAGCCAAACCATGTTAAGATCACATAGCCTGAGAGGGGTAGAGTAGGGACTTGACCTCCCCAGTCTGACCCAGAACCTATGCTCTGACTCTCCCTCCACCCTGTGCTGCCCGCCAAGTGACCATGGAGTTGCTGCCAGGTGCTGGAGACCCTGCATGATGCCATCAGCTCAGGGATGACCCCAACATCCTCTATGCTGACTCCCGGCTGTCTGGACCCCTGGGAGGCCAGGGGTGCCCTAAAGCCTCATGACCTAGGGCCCTGTTGCCCTCAAAGTAGCTTCCAGAGATGTTTGGAAAGGTCCACCCACCCAGGTGCCTGGAGCAGATGTTTACGTTGGAGGCTTGATGGGGATGTCTGGGCTCGGTCCAGCCTCCTGGGGCTGCCATCCTGGTGGGGGTCTATAATGCTTCACGACTACCTGGGTAGGGGGCAATGGGGGAGAAAGACAGAGAGAGAACAAGAGTGAAAAAATGAATGCAAGTGGCAAGCCCGGCCCGATTTAGGCCCATATGTCCTTCCAGGAGGGAGGAGCCACCGAGTAGGGGTCCCCTCTGCTCAGTGGCCACTCCCAGGATTCTGCCACTCTGGGCTGAAGGGCAGAAGCCTGGCTGGGAGGAGAGGGGCCAGGGCCTGCTCTTGAAGCCATGTTTCTTTTTCTTTTTCTTTTCCTTTTTTTAAGACAGGGTCGAACTCCGTCACGCAGGCTGGGGTACAGTGGTGCAATCATGGCTTACTGCAGCCTTGACTTCCCAGGCTCAGGCGATCCTCCCACCTCAGCTTCTCTGGTAGCTGGGACCACAGGGGTGTATCTCCATGCCTGGCTAAAGTTTTTTGTATTTTTTGTAGAGATAGGGTTTTGCCATGTTGCCCTGGCTGAACTCCCGGACTCAAGCATCCGCCTCAGCCTCCCAAAGTGATAGGATTACAAGTGCGAGCCACTGCAGCCAGCGAAGCTGCGTTTCTATGATAGACTCACTACCCCTGCGTAGAGGTTTACAGAGTGGGTGGTGGTTATGGGGCCTCCAGGACTCCTCAGGCCGCTGCTATGTCACTAATACTTCTAGTCTTCCCTTCCGATTCTAGGATAAAGACAAAATCCCAGCCCAAAATAGAGCACGGCGCACAGCATGGGCTCTTTTTTCTTTTACTGAGCCAGCATTTCACAAAGATGTGGGCTCAGACCATTTGAGTAAAACCAAAGAAAGTGTCACCCCTCCTTCTTCATCCCGAAGGCTGGTCCTTACTCCAAGTGCAGTAGGGCGGGCGCTGCTGGCAGAGGGGCTGGGGCAGCTTGCCGGTCCCTGGGGGTGCTGGAGGGAGGAAGGGGACACCGTGCCCTTAGTGGTTCCTGCAGGTATAGACAGCCTGTGTGGGCACATCCCGTTAGGCCAGGCCACCCCGTAGAGGGCCAGAGGTGCTCTCTGGCAGGTTGTGTCTTAGGGGTAGCCAGGCAGACACTACTAAGTCAGTCCTATGCTCCTATCCCCCCAGTCGTCCCATATGACATCAGGGAAAGCCAGCCACACTTCCGCACAGTTCCGCAACACACACAAATAGCACGTGTGTCTCAATGTACACTACTGCACTGTAACAACTTGAAGCCTTTGCTTCAAGGCCTACAAGAAGCAACTGACATAGGAAACTTTTTTTTTTTTTTTTTTTTTTTTTTTTTTTTTTTTTTTGAGACGGGGTTTTGTTCTTGTTCCCAGGCTGGAGTATAATGGCTCGATCTCGGCTCACTGCAACCTCTGCCTGCCAGGTTCAGGTGATTCTCCTGCCTCAGCCTCCCAAGTAGCTGGGTTTACAGGTGCCCACCACAACACCCGGCTAATTTTTATATTTTTAGTAGACAGGATTTTGCTATGTTGGCCAGGCTGGTCTCAAACTCCTGACGTCCGGTTATCCACCCGCCTCGGCCTCCCAAATGCTGGGATTACAGGTGTGAGCCACTGCACCTGGCCAGAAACAGTTTTTTAAAGGCCTGCTATGTGGTAGCCTTTGCTTTGAGGGCCCACGACCCACCGAAGGGGATTTCTTCAGACCCCTACCAGCAGAGCGAGGGTAGGGGAGCCAAAGGTCTTGGCATGAATAAGATGGGCAACAATGTTTTAAACTTGGTCCCCAGAGCAGGGACCAAGAACAGAGCTCTGGCTACTTCTGGCAGGAAGAACTCACTTGAGCCCCCAGCGGGCCCCTGCACCGGGTCTGTAGGCTTCCTGGCTCTGGCAATGTAGCTTATACTCAGCTTCCCAGGAGACTGCCTTGGAGAGGGATGGTTAAGCCAAATAGCATGACAATGGAAGTCGGCAGCAGCTTCCAGCCACAGCTCTAGCACCTTTTAGCTGTCGGGCCCTCCCTGGTCAAGAGTCTTTGCCCTGCTGCGCCTTCCATCCTCCGTGCTCTGTGTGTGAGGGAGGGAGTTTTGGAAATGCTCCTGAGAGCCAGAAGGCCCCCTGTGGGCTGAGCCCTGGGCTTGGTCCTTGCTCTGGGGACCGACACAGTTTAAAACATTGGTGCCCACCTTATCCTTACTCATGCCCAGAGCCTTGGCTCCACTGCCTTCGCTCTGCTGCTGTGCCAAACAGGATCCTACCTGCTTCACAACATCCGTGGTTCCCCACCTTCACTGCTCTTTATGACGGTCCAGGGAGCTTTAAAACCATTGATGCTGGCGCCTCACTTCCAGGAAGCGTGATTTCTCCAGCCCTGGGTGGGGCCCAGGCATGGGTTTTTTTTATAGGCCCCCAGGTATGTTCTCAAGCGTGTGGCCAGGGTTGAACTCTACTGACCCAAATGCTGGCAGCTTCCCCTACCCTTGCCTGGATCCTGGTATCCTGTAGGTACTCGAAGGTGGTTTAGTGGGTAGAATTAGCACACCCCCTCCTCTTTCACCCCTAACACAGATCTGAGGGCACCCGCCCCTAGCTCAGGCTTTCGAATTCCCAGCTGCTGCTCATTGACTCCCGGTGAGCACGGAGAGCTGGGGAGGATGCGTGAAGGGAGCCGTTCCACCGCCCTCAGCCTCTGGCGGGCGAGTGGTTCCTCGGCAACCGCCCAGCCTGACACCAGATTGGAGTTCACATGATTCTGCCTCAGCTCCGGAATGGGCAGCCTCCAGCTGGGGATTTTCTAGCCGGAGCTGGGAGGTTCAGGCTGCGGGAAATCGCTGGACGGAGAGCTGGGGTCGTGGCTGCAAGGGTGCCCAGGCTCCTGCAGAGCCTCTGCAGAAAGCCCAGCTGTCTGAGGTTTGAGGGCAGAGCCCAGCTGGGGCAGGCAGAGTGCCCCCTCAGATGACTCCCTTCATCCTGATTTCAGCAGCTGCCTGCTCCTCACCTGGCTGCAGAGACCACGCCGCCTTCCTGGGGCCCGGAGGCTCTAGGAGAAGCTGGAAAGCACAGGTGCGGGTCCAGCCAGGTGTTTTCAAACTGCGGGTTGTGACCCATTCGTGGGTCAGTAAATCAACTTCGTAGCTCATGACCTGCATTTTAAAAACCGAAATAGAATAGAAACGATCAGAGTGCGTGGCAAGAAGTAGGGTAAGTATTGCTTTGGGGAAGTTTGTTGCTTTGTACAGATGTGTGGGTGCTCGTATCTGTGGTCGCGATGTCAGGTATATTTCTTGCTATTGCTTGTGATCCAAAAAGCTCAAAGGTAACAGGTTGGTGCCTAGACACCTGGGTTCTGGATTCAGATCCACCCCAATTGACTGTGAGTTTGACCCCCCCGCCCCACCCGCCGCTTCACATTAACCTTTCTGGGCTTCAGGTTCTGAGAAATGGCTTGGCAATGCCAGCCCCACCTGACTCACAGGAACTTTGTGAGCCCAGATGGGACTGTTATTTGAAACAGTGACAAGGGTTCTAGAAGTGAGTGCTATGGTCCACGTTGTTCCTTGCGTGAGGTGATCTGGGAGGAGAATGGGGACTAAGGACAAATGCAGCCTGATTTCTCCCCTCTCCTCAGAGGGAAAATAAAGCACTTTTAGAGAATGAAACAGCCTTGTGTAAAGCATGCAGAGGTTTGGCCAACTGAAGGAAAAGGAAGCTGATCCCTCGGGAAACTCCCCAGCCCTTGTGGGCTTGGGGATCCGTGAGCCGCCTTGACAGCATGAGTAACTGTCTGCGTGCGTGCCTGTGTGTGCCGCACGGAGGGGGAGTGAGTTAGATCACTATTTATGTGCCAGCTGGAATCCAGCATTTACGCACCTCCGCCTTTTTTTTTTTTTTTTTTTTTTTTTGAGATGGAGTCTTGCTCTGCTGCCCAGGCTGGAGTGCAGTGGTATGATTTTGGCTCACTACAACCTCCACCTCCTGGATTCAAGCGATTCTCCTGCCTCAGCCTCCCAAGTAGCTGGGATTACAGGCATGGGCCACCATGCCCAGCTAATTTTTGTATTTTTAGTAGAGACGGGGTTTCACCATGTTGGCCAGGCGGTCTCGAACTCCTGACCTCAGGTGATTCGCCCGCCTCAGCCTCCCAAAGTGCTGTGATTATAGGCTTGAGCCACTGCACCTCCACCTTCTGACTTAGGACATGCAAGAGACTCCTAGCTTAGTCATAAAGGCCTTTTCTTCCTGTTGATAGCTTTGTTTCTCTTGGTCATTAAAGTCCCTGGAGGCCTCTGTGCTGATTTGCATTTGCTAAAGATTTGCTTTTAGGTGTTGAGTCACTCTGTAGTTTTTCTCATTTCTTAGCTAGATAATTAAGTGTTATTTTGATTCTTTTTCCCAATGCCCTCCCAAACCACAGACTGCACCTATGGCAGGTTTTCCTCAGGGGGCATTGAAAGCATGGTTGACTTGCTAAAGCATACCCCCGGTGAAGGGGGCCAGCCCAGGACCAAGCCTGGTGGCCCTTGCTGCGGCATCTGTGAGGACTGGAGCTTGGCTGAGCTAGGGGGTTGAGGGTGGTGGTGTGGGATGATCATGATAGTCAGTCAGAGAGCACAGCATCGAGGCAAGTGTGGACCAGTCCGAGCTCCGGACCTGGCCTGCCGCATCTCAACTGTGGATTCTTGAGCAGGTCGATTCATCTCTCTGAGCTTCAGTTTTTTCACTGATATCCATTTAGAAAGTGGGAGCTGATGAGAGTGAGGTTGAAAGAAAGAACAAATGTTCAGAAACTTCCCTGGCAAGTGCAGAGCCCTCAGCAGATGTGGCTTAGTTCTACCCATCTGCGTTTTCCCATTTACAGAATATTTTTGCATCCACTGTGTCCTTCGATCTTTTAGGAGCACAGTTCCCGTGGAGACGAGGTAGAGGGCAAGGTGGAGTTTCCATCTAGGGGTGGCTGTCCTCAGGGAGCGGTAGAAGGGAAGGTACTGGTGAAAAAGCAGGACCCTCAGACCAGCTCAGACACCCTGAGCAGAGGGGAAGACAGTGATTCCTCCTCCTCACTATCCTGTTTCTACTAGTGATGTCCCCACTGTCCCAGTACCCAGCCTCAACCCCCCACCATTTACCTATCCACTCACTCACCTACTCACCCACTCACCTCTCCACCCACCCATAATCCATCTGCCACCCATTCCCTCATCCATCTATCCATCTTCCCCTCACCCGTGCGTCCATTTACACATTCACCCATCCACTTATCCACCCACCCACCCATCTATCCACTCACCTATCCAGCCACCCATATATCCATCTGTCCACCCATTCACTCACCCATCTATCTGGCTACCCCAGGCCTCCATTCATTCACTCACCTACCCTCCACTCCACCATCCATCCAACAAATAATTTTAGGGAGGCTATAAAGACCAGGCACCACAACAAATTTCCGATTTGCCCCTGGTTATTCCCTCCCCGCCGCCCCCCCCCCCCCCCCCCCGTAATTACTTGTCAGTTTTTACAGCTTCACACTGTTTCCTCTCACTTCCTGCCTACCTCATGGGCCACATTAACCTACTTTCAGTTCCGCAAATCTGCACCTTCTCTCCCTCTTGCATTTTGGCCGTTTGGACACACTTTCCACAGGCAGAAACTCTCCTCTGCTTAGGCAGCACTTCCTCCTTCTCCTGATCTTAGTGATCTTCTTCTGCCGATGCTCTGGAAGGCCCTTCCTGACAGGATGAGGTCCCCACCTATGAACTCTCATAAAATCCTGTCCTCTCTTGGTGAGCTTGTTTCACTTATCTTCTCTCCTCCACCTTAAGACTAAAAGCCACTTGTTAGTTGCGGCCAATGTCTAGTGTTGTGCCTTTCATATAATAGATACTCTGTGAGTATTTGTTGTATGAATGAATACCTGGGTGCATGCATGGATGGATGGATGGATGGGCGGATGGGTAGATGGGTGGATGGAAGGAAGGATGGGTGAATGGGTGAATGGGTAGATGGATGGATGGATGGATGGATGGATGGATGGGTGGATGGGTGGATGGGTGGATGGGTGGATGGAAGGAAGGATGGGTGAACGGGTGAATGGGTAGATGGATGGATGGATGGATGGATGGATGGATGGATGGATAGATGGATGGGTGGGTGGGTGGATGGATGGATGGGTGGATGGGTGGATGGGTGGATGGGTGGATGGGTGGATGGGTGGATGGGTGGATGAGTGAATGGATGGATGAACAGATGGATGGATGGGTGGATGACTGGAGAACCATGGAAGCATTTGTGACTGGCTTAGATTTATGTTTAGAGGATGGCTGTGAGAGTGGTAAGATTTCCCAGTCTGTTGCACTGACTCTGGGAAGGAGGTCTTGACCAAACCCATCTAGGGTGCTGGTGAGAGAGCTGAAGAAGAGGAGATGGATGTAGGAAATACTTAGGAGTTAAAAATGGCAGAACTTGGAAATTAACTGGATGCTATGGATGAAGATGAGGGATAAAGCTGAAGGCCAGCCATTGACATGAGTGGCTGGGCACGTGGGGATGCCCCTTCCAAGAACTGACCAGTGGAGAAAATAATGGACCCAGTGTGGGCCTCACTGAGCATGTCCTGTGAGGGGCAGGAAGCCGGTTATGTCTTTATCCTGGGAGAGGCCCGGGAGTCATCAGAGCGTAGGTGGGATTGAAACCATGGAGAGCCAGCCATCCCGCAGAGAGTGCACATGGAGTAAAAAGGGCAAACCCGTGTTTAATGTCTGTGGGAGAGATGCCCACCGCACCCACCACATGCCCACTGCACCCGCCATACTGCCTTGCGTGCTAGTGATGTGTGCACATGGCATTCCTGTCTTTCAAGCTTGCAGGTTCCTGTGGCTGGGAGCCATTTCTTGCATTTGCTTGAGATGGGCGTCTCACTCTGTCATGCAGGCTGTAGTGCAGTGGCACGAACATGGCTCACTGCAGCCTCGACTTCTTGGGCTCAAGTGATCCCCCAGCCTCAGCCTTCTGATTGGCTGGGACTATAGGTGTGCACCACCACACCTATAGTCCCAGCTAATTTTTAAATTTTGTATAGAGACAAGAGTCTCACTATGTTGCCCAGGCTGGTCTTGAACTCCTGGGCTCAAGTGATCCTCTTGCCTCAGCTAGTGCTGAGATCACAGGCATGAGCCATCACACCCAGCCCATTTCTTGTGACCCCTAAGTCCCCCGTGTCTAGCGTGGTACTGTGAACATTGGAGATGCTGTACACAAACTTGTGCAGTGAAAGCCAGGGTACTGCTTCATCTCGCTGACCTCAGTTTTCTCATCTGTAGAATGGAGACATCTGTAAAAAGCTGTTTTTAAAATTGGACAAGAGAACAGACTGAAAAGTCTGTACAGTCTAAAGTATTTTGCAAATAAAAGGTGTAAGTACTCAGGTTTAATTGCTCTTTCTTGATGCCTTGAATCAGCCAAGAGACATCGCAAGGGCTGCGTTCTTCTTGTGCCCACAAGGTCCTGCTGGATCCCATTCCCCTTCCAGCTGCCTCTGTTTCCCTGCCTTGGGAGCTCTTGTAGGGCATGTGCTCAGGAGCTGAAACTGGGACCTTCCAGAAGCTCCTAGTACCTTGCTACTCAGTGTGGTCCATGGGCTGGCAGCATTCCCGTCACCTGGCAGCTTGTCTGAAATGTAAAATTCTTGAGCCCCACCCCGGACCCACTGAGTCTGAAACTCTGGAGGAGATGCTTAGTAATCCATCATAACAAATAATCCAGGGGATTCTGATGCACCTAAGTTCAAGGACAGCAGTGTTGGAATACCAAAACCCCCTTTTCTCTCCAAAATGAACGTAGGGGGTGCTTTCATCTAAACATAGTAAATGTTTCTTCTTTGTTCTGTGGGCTCGAATGTTTCTGACTTTGGTTGCCAGAATTAGCTTATTGTTGGCCTGGGGAAGAGGAAGCACCACCCTATATACATATACACCCACCACTCGTAAACCACAGCCTGGTGACGTTCAGCGAGTTGTGTTTTCATGGGGATTTCATTTGCCGTTTGGGGGGAGCCTGGGGGCCTGTGCTTATGAATGGATTTTATCTTCCTGTGGGTGGATTTTGTATGGACTGCAGAGAATCTGAAGTAAATTCCTGAAACAGGAATGGCTCTGGATGGGTGCCTTGGGGACCGTTCGGGAACATGGTCTGTGGATTTGTAATCCTGGCAAAGCATTTGGCCACACAGATGTGAGCGCGGAATTCAGGGACAGGAGGGCTGGCAAGAGGAGGGTGACCAGGGCCGAATTCTGATTCACTGGGTTGTGGGCAGTTTTTGGATCACGGGCTTCAGCTGAGCCTTCTCCCCCTTCTCTCACCGCCAAAACATACAGGTGAAAACAAACCAACCAACCCACCCTTATGCATTGCTGGTGGAAATGTAAGATGGTGCAGCCACGTTGGAAAATGGTATGGTGGTTCCTCAAACAATTAAAAATAGAACCAACATATGACCCAGCAATTCCAATCCCGGGTATATAGCCAAGAGAACTGAAAGTGGGAACTTGAACAGACCTTTCTACACTCATGTTCATAGCAGCTTCATTCACAATAGCCTAATAAAAAAATCCCAGTGCTCATCAGTGAATGGATAAACCAAATGTGGGCTGTGCAGACAATGGATCATTATTCAGCCTTAAAAGGGAAGGAAATGCTGACATGTGTGGATGAACCTTGAAGATATTATACTAAGTCAAATACACCAGACACAAAAGGACAAATACCGTTTGTCCACTTATATGAGGTACCTACAATAGTCAAGTTCATAGAGACAGAAATGGTGGTTGCTAGAGGCTGGGAGGTATTATTTAATGGGTATAGAGTTTTAATTTTGCAAGATGAAAAGAGTTCTGGAGATGGAGGGTGCTGATGGTCGCACAACGGTGTCGATGTACTTAATGCCACTTACAAGTGGCTAAAGTGGTAAATGTTATTTACATGCATTTTACTACAACGAAAACAAGAAGCACCTCCCTCCACCACCATCACGGAAATTCTAGGCCAGTGTCCTGAAGAGGATGGAAGAGGTGAGTCAGAGACTGGGAGTCCCTGTTTTCTGGGAACGGAGAGGTTGGGAGCTGAGTCTCAAGAGGAGACTGTGCGTGGCAGGGAGGTGGATGGGGAGCAAGGAGACCTGGATTCCAGCAGCAATGTGTCCTTCCTCCGGCTGGCTCCAGGCAAGTCACTTGCCCTTCAGAACTGTAGTTTCCTCACCTGGAAGATGGGAAGTGCCATTCATCTATTCATCCAAGAAGGTTTTGTTTTGTTTTGGTTTTGAGACAGAGTCTTGCTCCATTACCCAGGCTAGGGTGCAGTGGCATGATCTCAGCTCACTGCAACCTCTACCTCCTGGGTTCAGGTTACTCTCATGCCTCACCCTCCCAAATAGCTGAGACTACAAGGCGCCCACCACAACACCTGGCTAATTTTTGTATTTTTAGTAGAGACAGGGTTTCACCATGTTGGCCAGGCTGGCTTTGAACTCCTGACCTCAGGGATCTACCTGCCTCTGCCTCTGAAAGTGCTGGGATTACAGGTGTGAGCCACTGTGCCCAGCTCAAACTTATTTGTATATCTGGAATCTTCTTTGTTAAATCCTCAATAATAGGACCTTTTTTTTTTTTTTTTTTTTTTTTTTTTTTTTTTTTTTTTTCCAAGATGGAGTCTTGCTCTGTCACCCAGGCTGGAAGCACAGTGCTGCGATCTCAGCTCACCGCAAGCTCTGCCTCCCATGTTCAAGTGATTCTCGTGCCTTAACCTCCTGAGTAGCTAGCTGTGATTACAGGCACCTGTCAGCATGCCCAGTTGATTTTTAGTAGAGATGGGGTTTCACCATGTTGGCCAGGCTTGTCTCAAACTCCTGATCTCAAGTGATCTGCCCACCTCAGCCTCCCAAAATGCTGACATTACGGGTGTGAGCCACTGCACCTGGCCAATAAATAGGAACTTTTCACTAACTCCAGCAAGATTATAATCTCTTACTCCTCCTCTTTGCTTCTGGAAAAACGATGCCCTGTGTTCTCATATTTATCATTTGACGTGGCCCTGATACTGACCCCGGACGGTGAGCTTTTTATCTCCAATTTGACAGGTGAGGAAACTCTGAGGCTCAGACAAGGTTAGTGGCTTGCACAGTCAGTACTGGCTGGCCTTGGCCTGGCGCTCACGTCCTGGGGCCTTGGTCCAGGGCTTTCCTGGAGCTGCAGGGAGAGGCAAGGTAGGTCTTGCTAGGTGAGTACCCAGGAGTCCAGGCTTGCAGGAAACTGGGCTTTTGTTTCTTACCAGAATGTGATAAAGTATGGACAAGGTTGGACCTCTTCTGATGCTATCTGGAGAGGCCACCATGAGTGGCAGTGGCCTCAGTGTTAATGGACCTACGTAGTATATTCTCGTGAGCAAATAGGACAAATGTGAATGACACCTCTTGCTGCAGATGAGGATGGCCAGTGCCGTCACGTGTGGGTTAGAACTGATCTTTGCCCCAAGTCTCCCTGGGAGAGCAGGCTCAGGATGGGCACGTGCTCATGAGAACCTCCAGCCTGACTTGCTACACCAGGGGAGCAGGAAAATATATAAAGGCTAGGGAATAAATTGGCAAAGCCAGGGAATGGGGAGGGGAGACATAAGCTACCCTTCAGCATCTTGGTATGTGACTCATTTGGATATATTCTTAGTGTTTGTTTTATTGAGATGGAGTCTGCCTCTGTCACCCAGGCTGGAGCACAGTGGCACAATCTTGGCCCACTGCAACCTCCGCCTCCCAGGTTCAAGCAATTCCCCTGCCTCAGCCTCCGGAGTAACTGGGATTACAGTTATATTAATCCATGCCACCATGCCCAGCTAAATTTTGTATTTTTAGTAGAGACGGGGTTCTGCCATGTTGACCAGGCTGGTCTGGAACTCCTGACCTCAGGTGATCCACCCACTTTGGCCTCCCAAAGTGCTGGAAATACAGGTGTGAGCCATCATGTCCGGCCGTTGAGACATTCCAGTTGAATTGGAGTTGGTGGGCCAGTACCCCTTCTAAATTAAACGAGTAAAGAACTCAGAACAGTGCCTAACACACAGCAGATGCTACATACATGCTAGCTACTATTATTCTAAGCTACTATTGTTCTGCCTCTGACTTTCAGGGTCTCGCCCACCACCAGTGATGCCCAGCCCTTGGTAGAGCTTGAACCACCTTCTGTAAACAGAATGGCGGTGGAGAGACAGGCCCGGTCCCTGAGTCCATGAGGGGTGAGGCCCCTCCAGGCCCAAAGATGGGGAACATCACTGCAGACAACTCCTCGATGGGCTGCACCATTGACCACACCATCCACCAGACGCTGGCCCCGGTGGTCTATGTCATGGTGCTGGTGGTGGGCTTCCCGGCCAACTGCCTGTCCCTCTACTTCGGCTACCTGCAGATCAAGGCCCGCAACGAGCTGGGCGTGTACCTGTGCAACCTGACAGTGGCCGACCTCTTCTACATCTGCTCACTGCCCTTCTGGCTGCAGTACGTGCTGCAGCATGACAACTGGTCACACGGTGACCTGTCGTGCCAGGTGTGCGGCATCCTCCTCTACGAGAACATCTACATCAGCGTGGGCTTCCTCTGCTGCATCTCCGTCGACCGCTACCTGGCTGTGGCCCATCCCTTCCGCTTCCACCAGTTCCGGACCCTGAAGGCGGCCGTGGGCATCAGCGTGGTCATCTGGGCCAAGGAGCTGCTGACCAGCATCTACTTCCTGATGCACGAGGAGGTCATCGAGGACGAGGACCAGCACCGCGTGTGCTTCGAGCACTACCCCATCCAGGCGTGGCAGCGCGGCATCAACTACTACCGCTTCCTGGTGGGTTTCTTCTTCCCCATCTGCCTGCTGCTGGCTTCCTACCAGGGCATCCTGCGCGCCGTGCGCCGGAGCCACGGCACCCAGAAGAGCCGCAAGGACCAGATCCAGCGGCTGGTGCTCAGCACCGTGGTCATCTTCCTGGCCTGCTTCCTGCCCTACCACGTGCTGCTGCTGGTGCGCAGCCTCTGGGAGGCCAGCTGCGACTTCGCCAAGGGCATCTTCAACGCGTACCACTTCTCCCTCCTGCTCACCAGCTTCAACTGCGTTGCCGACCCCGTGCTCTACTGCTTCGTCAGCGAGACCACCCACCGGGACCTGGCCCGGCTCCGCGGGGCCTGCCTGGCCTTCCTCACCTGCTCCAGGACCGGCCGGGCCCGGGAGGCCTACCCACTGGGTGCCCCCGAGGCCTCCGGGAAAAGCGGGGCCCAGGGTGAGGAGCCTGAGCTGTTGACCAAGCTCCACCCGGCCTTCCAGACCCCTAACTCACCAGGGGCAGGAGGGTCCCCCACAGGCACTTCGGCCTAGCCTGGGTCCCCCACGGGTGGGGCCACGTGAGGCAGGAGCCTTCAGCCCACAGGCCTCAGGGTTGGCCACTTCCTATTTCACTCAGCGCCAGTGCAGCTTTCTGCGGAGGCGGCGAGGCCCCTGTGACTCCGGAAGCCTGTTCTCGCTTGCTGAGCCCACTGAGACCATCGAGGGTGAGAATCAGCCCCCGTCGGCTCGTGGTGGCCTCTGCCGCAGAGTATGGTGTGGCCAAGCTGGGGCTGCTGGGGCGGGGAGACAGTGAACTGCGCTGCCCGGGCTGCTTCCTGCAGAGAGTTTGTGCATGGGGACTGTGCGGACGTGGAGGGTGGGAGGCTGGGGGTTCACCTGCCAGGGCTTCCAGTGCCACTGTTGTCACAGACAATGTCTGTCCAGATGCCCCGGTGGGACCAGCACTGGAGTCCTGCCCACAACAGGGTGGGAAGTGAAGACTGGAGGGGGAAGGAAGGCAGGAGCGGGGAGGAATGGGGGGAAGGAAAAGGGGAAGAAGGAAGGGCGGAGGGGTGAAGGAGGGGAGGAGGGGAGAGGGAAGGCAGTTGGTGTTTGGGAGTCGAGCTGGGGTGGCGGAGTCGGGGAGTGGGGGAGCTATAGGCAGAGGAGGACGCTAGCTCCAGCCACAAGAACTGGGAGAGCCGCTGGCTGCCCCAGGAGACCTGCCCCCTTCTACGGAAATGCTAGCCCTTCAGACCTTCTGGTCGGTGGGCTGGGACCAGCTCTGACTTCCCAGGTCATGCCCTCCAAGGCCTGCAACTCAAATTCCTCAGAACCAAGAGGTTACATGGGTGTCTTCCAAGAATGGACCAGGGGCGAGGAACAGAAATTGGCATCAGTAAACATTTCCGGAAAGGGAGGCCCAGGCAGAACCCCTTCCTCAGTCTCCCTTCCCGTCTTCCCTTTGTGCTCTGTCTCTTAGCCCTTTCATCAGGGATGCTCAGAGGCACACAGCCTAGGCTGGAGGTGCCCAAGGGAGGGTTGCTCACGGTGGTCCCAGGACTACACTTGGCTTTGACTGAGCAGCCCCTGCTCAGATCCTTGTGAAGGGTGTCCAGTGACATGGGGAGGTTCTCTGTCCCTTCCTAGAGGAGGAAATGACCAAGTTTGAAGGCAGAAATGACCACACAGCCAACAAGAGTCCATGCAACTCAGCCCAGGATCCTCCTGGGTCAGTGACATTGGTGGAAGCTTCCATGCCTCATTCCACAGTTCCTCCTCCTATGTTGACCTTAAACACCAGCTTTCCCACTGACTACAGACTGGGATGAGCTGAGGGCAGTATCATTTACTATCAAGAGCTGTATTTTTGTATTGTCCTCTCTTTTTGCCAAGTGTACGTGTGTTGACTGTGCAATGGATTTATGTAGCAAACTTCAGTCTGCAAATAAAGCAAAGTAACCAGACACCTTGGAAGTATTCCGTGGTCCTTATGGGGTAGGGGATTCCCAACACCAGGGGGATCTAGAGGGCCCTTGAAGAACCAAAGGAGTCAGGAAGGGCCAGGGGTTGACCTTCTCAGGGCAAACGCAAGCAGAGCGATTAGGGGATTTGCACTTGCTCACCCAACAATGGTGGAGAAGGACATAGCCCTTGAGTGCAGTAGAGCCTTCTCTCCCTCTGCTTGAGATTCACAAAGTGCCACCCAGCTCTTAGGCATGGTGTTGCAAATTTGCTCTGGGGCCTAATTTGGACAACTCCCTTTTGAGGGCAGAGCCCAGTCATGTGGTTTGGAGAATATCACCCTCTCTGTCCTTGGCCACAGGATCTCTTGTACCTGCTGGGTAGCTGCTCCCCACAGTGAGGGAGGGCTCCATCAGGCCACCCCCTCCTCACTAGAGAAGATTTCCAGTGCAGAAGGGCCTGCTGCATTCATCTCTGTGGGGCTGTCCTCGGTGACGGGGCTGTGTTTGGAGAGGCCCACATTTGCTGACCCGCCTCTTTAGGCTGGAGCGTCTACTCAGCAATGGCATATGCCATGTTTATCACTGAGGATTAACTGCATCATATTAAAATGTAAATTTGATCTTGGTCACTTAATCCCCCTCCGGGTCAGGCTCCTAGAGTCCTGGAGTGTTCCAGAAGAGTGGATCCTTCTTCTAAACAGACTAAGTAAGGGCATTATTGGGGATTATGACTCCTTTCTCTCCTGAGAGGATGGGTAGGAGAAAAAGCCCATCTGGTTTGGAAGGTGACAGAAACCATTAGGATTTATTTCTTATTCACCAGCGTTGTTTAGTCAGATGAGGGCTCATCTTCCTGTTTATACACAGGGCACATCTTCCTGTTACATGTACTGGTCTGTGGGTTTGGCCAGACAAGAGTGGGAGAAATTTTCAGCATGAAATACATCCCCATCTGCTTCTTTCCTCTGGCTGGTCCAACCGAAAGAGTCAGACTCTGACCCTCTTGGCTCATTGCTTTTCTGAAAAACCCACTCCTTGTAGCTGGGGATCCTGAAGGCTCTATCCCTGGAAATCATCTGGCAAGACAGTGGTCTTTGATGAGACTATGAATTGAATGTCCCCTCCAAAACTCATGCTGAAATTTCATTGCCATTGCAACTGTGTGGAGAGGTGGGACCTTTAATAGGTGTTGGGTCATGGATGAATGATGTATGGTGGGAGAGAGTTTGTTATTGGAGAAGTCCAGCCCCCTTTTCCTCTGTCTTCAGAGCTTGCTTGCCTTTCTGCTTTCTGCCATGAGATGACCCCTGCCAGATGCTGGCACCATATTCTTGGATTTCCCAGTCTCTAGAACCATAGCCAAATAAATGCCTGTTCTTTATAAATTACCTAGTCTGTGGCATTTTGTTATAGCCATAGAAAATGGACTAAGACAGATGGCATTCATCCTGAAGTTATAATAGTGCCCAGTACTCTGGGGAAATGTTGGGATTTCAATCCCATTTGCTTTCATTCAACAACTTTTAGAACACTGCTAAATTACACGTTAGATATCAGTGCTGGCGTATACCAGAAAAGTCATAATATCCAGTTCCCTCTCCATGAAGTCTCCCCTCTGCGTTCCCCAAAAATGATAGTCCAGTCTCTCTACTTGCACCACCAATGACAACTCACTACTACCCAAGACGACTTATTTCAGGGCAGAAAACTTCATGCAAAGTCCAATGAGAGGCGACTTTCTGGCAAGTCTTTCCCAAAGCAATGGCCCTGATTCAGGATCCTCCCATCACCAGAGCCTATCATCTCGGGGTCTTCCCTTTTCATCCACACAGGTAAGGGGAAGCAGCAAAAAGAGAATCTCACGGGGGTTTTTGGCCAAGTGTGGGAATGGTCGATATCCCTGCTACTCACACTCCATTGGTGAGATCCCAGTCATGTGGCCCCAACCTAACCGCAAGGGAGGCTGAGGAATGTAGTTTTCCTATGGATGCAGGAAAAAGAGACAGAATTGTTGAGCATCCGGCTAGTTTCTGACAGACAGACACCTCAACTTAACAGGTGTTTTGTTTTGTTGAGACATTGCTTTTTAGCCCAGGCTGGAGTGCAGTGGCGCGATCTCAGCTCACTGCAAACTCCGCCTCCCAGGTTCAGACAATTGTCCCACCTCAGCCTCCTGAGTAGCTGGGATTACAGGCATGCACCACCACACCCAGATAATTTTTGTCTTTTTAGCAGAGACAGGGTTTCACCATGTTGGTCAGGTTGGTCTTGAATTCCCAACCTTGCAATCCGCCCATATTGGCCTCCCAAAGTGCTGGGACTACAGATGTGAGCCACCGCGCCCGGCCAAAGTGCTGACCTTCTCAGCTGGCTCACTCGCCTCTGATCCACCTCCTGCAGAGTCTGCATGGCTCCTTCTCCCCTCAACAGGCCAAGGTCTATAGGCTGCCTGTGATCACGGAGCATCCCACGCACCGTTTACCAGGATCGCCTCCCCTCAATGTTCTTGGAAACGCCCAGGGATGCTCCTGTGTCCCACAGATCCATTCTGGTTGGCACCGGGCCCATATCTCACCTTAAGGCGCCCCATCATTCCCTGCAGGTCATCTCCTCACCCCATCATTCCCTGCAGATCATCTCCTGTCCTCCTGTAACCAGCTTCTCCAGGCTGCAGCCACACTCCCCATGGCCATCCCACAGATACAGATGCTTCCCCAAAGCACAGGCAAGGCTAGGACAAAAGAGCAAAGCTGAGCAAAACATTCCTAAAGGTCTAAGCAGGAATCCTATTGCGGAATGGACAAGCATCAAAACTGGATTCTAGAACGCAGAGCTCCTGCAGTCCTTGGGCTGGGCCCTGCTAAGGGGTCTTCTCCTGACCCTCCCTTGCACCCGAGCCCCTGCTGTGGGACCACAGGCCTGCCTCTCCCTGTAGCTGGGTGGGGGCTTTGTATGCATCACTGAGTCTAGGACCCCTATTCTCAGCTTTCTCTGGGCTCGACCTGGGTGTCAGCCTCTTTCCCAAAACAACTGAAATCCTTTCCCCAAACAACTGAAATCCTTTCCCCATGAACTTCCGCCCACAGTGAAGACAACCCATTACATGGTTATGCCTCAGACGCCTCCACGCCGGGAGAGAAGTCTGCTGTAACCAGTGCAAAAACAAAGGCCCGTTCGTGTCTTCCCCCAAAACAGGAGTCAGAAGGGTGCTGGCAGCTTTACCGTAGTGAGGGCTTTCTCTCTTCTAGCCATCCAGATTGCAGAAATGTCAGGGTACACTGTCAATCAGAGGCCCTTGCTACATGGAACTCTGCAGTCCCAAATCAAGGACAAAAATCATAATTGGAGGACACCTGGCCGGGGAGGCAGCAGAACTGAGGTGGCTTCACGGAGCCGTGAGAAGCCGCAGATGGAGGGCTGCATTCTCAGGATGTCGGAGGTATCAGGATGCTGAGCCAGCACCAGCACAGCCACTGCCGGAGGGAACTCCCCCAGAATGACAAGGGAGAGCCCCCACCCCAGCGACGTCCACCCAGGGGCTGCATCACGTTCCCGCATAGGGAGGACTGCAGTCAGTCCCGGAACCACGGGGCTACGTCCTTATGCCTAACAGCTGCGTACAACGAGGGGGTCATTTCTATCCCAGGCGTTCTGTTCTCACAACTGCTGCCCATTAAAGAAATGAAACTAGACCTGTTTAAGGAAATGAAGGAAAACGAAGCAGGTTCAACAAACATTTGGGGCCATGGCTGGGAAGCTGGACACCCCTGGTCCGGATGAGTCAGCTGTCACTCAGCAGTACAACCAGCACAATAGAGCATAAGGGTGTAGTGGGACACGGTCAGTGACTCAGTTTCTACTGTGCAGTGGGAGCTTGTGGAGGAGATAAGTGACGAGCTCTTCAGGAGGACTCTGTGAGCCACCTGGGCACTGGACTGGCCTGACCCCCACAGGGTAAGGCTGCCCTCTATGCAAGAGGTCGAAAGGTCCGGGCTCAGGAGGGGCACAGGTGCAGACAGAGAGGAGGCAGTGTCAGGAGTGAAGGCAGGCGAGGGGCAGCAATGGTGATAAATGTCAGGCTCTTCAAAGGACCTTTTGCTTTAGCAAACAAAACGATGTTTGGGGGGAAAAAAGGCATTTCAAAGGTATAAATATTTTGATGGTGGTAGTGAGTAAATCTTCTGTAAAGCCCAAAAACTTTGTAAATATATATTCCACATTTTTACATTTTACCATTTTATGTTTTTCCTTTTTTCTTTTTTTCTTTTTTTTTCCAGACACAGTCTTACTCTGTCACCAGGCTAGATAGAGTGCAGTGGTGCGATCTCGGCTCACTGGAACCTCTGCCTCCCGGGTTCCAGTGATTCTCCTGCCTCAGCCTCCTGAGTAGCTGGGACTACAGGTGCACGCCACTGCAACCAGCTAATTTTTGTATTTTTAGTAGACACGGGGTTTCACCATGTTGGCCAGGATGGTTTCAATCTCTTGACCTGGTGATCCACTTGCCTCAGCCTCCAAAAGTGCTGGGATTGCAGGTGTGAGCCACTGCTCCCAGCCTTTTTTTCCTTTTTTGAAACGAAGTCTTGCTCTGTCACCCATGCTGGAGTGCAGCAATGTGATCACAGCTCACTGCAGCCTTGAACTCCCAGATTCAAATGATCCTACCACCTTCACCCCCTGAGTAGTCGGGACTACGGGTACATGCCACCAGGCCTGGCAAATTTTAAAAAAAATTTTTTTTGTAGAGATAGGATTTCACTATGTTGTCCAAGCTTGTCTCAAACTTCTGGGCCCAAAGGATCCTCCCGCCTTGGCCTCCCAAAGCATTGAGATCATAGGCGTGAGCCACCATGCACGGCTGCTTGACTGTGTCCTTTGTAATAGTGCCCCATCATTCGCAGGGAATAGGTTCCAAGATCCCCAGTGGATAGTACTGAATTTGATTGCTGTCAATTTGAACACATTTCTGTTCATGTCTTCCACCCACACATGCAAT